ATACATCAATGGAAAGCTTATTTATTCAGCTTTCATATGATACATAAATCTCAATTAAAAAAAATAGACCCTTATGACTGGTTTTGTGGTCCAGGGTCACATATATACACACACACATAAAATGTATTATATAATTTATAAATGTATTGTATATACAGTATATATACAATATATAAATTACATATTTATATTTATTTTATTTATTATTTTATAATAAATGATGATGTTGCATGCACACAATTATAATAAATGAGCATTTCACAATTAAATAAATAAATACATAAATCAACAGAAATGCTGCAAAGATTGTAAATGCAATTCCATAAAAGCCTGATGTATCAAATATGAACAATTACCCCCCCAAAAAAGTTATGTATATTTAGTCAAAGTTCAATAGACAATTTGATAAAAAAAAAAAAAAGACTATAATTTTATATGCCAAGCTTTATTAAAAAACTACAATCCAATAAAGCTTCATTTTAAAATAGTAGAAATCAGCGTGATGTTCTCATAAGCATGTACACACCATCAGCTGCAGCAGCTCATCTTCTGTACACTCATCCAGGTTAGTGTTCTTCACCGCCACCAGCCGGCCAGACGGTGTGTGTCGAGCCATGCTCACCTGACTGAGGTTATTAAAGCCCCGGCCTGTCCACAGACAGAGGACAAAACACAGCGATATAAACACATGATATAGACATGAGACATCAGGAAGTAGCTAACACATATCATATACTGTATAAAGTAGGTCACGGTCATTACCCAGTTGTGAGAGCAGCTGATAGTGGGCGGGGTCAGTGGAAAGATCTGTGATGTCATCTTCATCCGTCAACACAGAACACGGAGAGACATCACTGCTCTGTCACACACATAACACAGCACACAAACACACATGAACAAACATATAGCACACACACACACACACACACACACGACTCTACCTGATAAAACACTCCACACAATGCTGGTCATGTTTACTGGGTTATTCTAGGGAAGAATCAAATATAAACAGAACATAATAAGACACTTCCTGTCCTGTGCCTAACACTAATGCGATGCTAGAGGAACTGTTGCTTCCAGAGACTGGAGATGGAAAGGTCATGGATGAAGTCGCCTCTGTTTTCTGGCCTCAGATCACTTTTATTAAAAAGTGTTATTATTGTTAACTAAAACTAAAAAAAAAAAAGTGTTCATTGAAATAAAACCGAAATAAATATAAATAAAACATAAATATGGTAAGACTTTACAGAGTTTTGCCCTTAATAAACTCTGGTTGTTGTAGTAATTATGTTTAGGGATAAGGGATGTAGAATATGGTCATATATGCAGAATAAGGCATTAATATGTGCTTTATACACACTAATAAACAGCCAATTTGCTAGTAATATGCATGCTAATAAGCAACCAGTTAATAGTGAATAGTATTCCCTAAACTAAAGTGTAACCATAAATGAAAATGAGAAATGTTGCCTTGGCAACTAACAAAAATTACTGATTGGAAATAGATAAAAACTAAATAAATTAAACTAAACTAAATAAATAAATACACACCATTATTTAATAAAAATTAAATTATTTAAAAGAAATTAAAATTAAAACTTAAAATATAAAAATAAAAGCTCATTCAAAATATTGGTAAAAACTATAATAGCATATTATAATACTAAAATAACACTACTGAGAAACACGGATCTTTTGCAGATCAGAATATTTGTAGTTAAGATGGAGGTTAGTGGGTGTAGAATATTTCAAGGTATCAATTGAAATGAGGGAATAACATAAAAAGCATTTCAGAAATGGCATATACATTTCATGTTCATGCATTCCCTGCGAATCAAACACAGCCTTGGTGCTGCTAGTGCCATTGAACCACAGTAGTAGTGTTTTCAAATAAGAAATGAAAAAAAAAAATTATATTAAACAGTAATTAATTACACAGTCCATAATGCTTTATTGGAGCTCATTCAATCCTTCATAAGTACAAGTCTTGAACCTCCAGGTTTTTTGCTTTGAATAATTTTTTAATATTGCAATTCATTGTTGACATGCAACTTGACATGCATTACATAGCTGAGAACTCTAGGGGGTGATAGAGTTATATTCAAATCACTGTGCCATTAAACCAGATTCGTAATTATTCAGGTAGCTTCTATAAACATGTCAACATTTTAGACTTTAACCAAGCTCTTAAGCGTATAACGTTTTATTGAAGCATTTTTGGAAAAGCCTCTTTAGATCATGAATGGGAAAGTGGCCCAGATCACTGCAGTCAAACACCAAATATTTCTGCCACAGGATGAGAAAATCTAAAGACAACCCACAGATGTATCCTTCAGCCAAAAACACAGGACAACAGCACAAGTGAGCTTTCATCCAGAACGATGGAACAGAAACACTGCTTTGTGATGCCCAATACAATGGATCCACTCAGATCAAACTTGAGCACAACAACAACCTGAAGCTCACTGGAGTTTGTCATTATGCGATGATGTTTCACTGGCATGACTGCTCTCTCATATCCGACAGGGCTTTTCACACTGACAGCTATTTGCAGCGACAAAGCAAACGGACGTCATTCATTTGAAATCAGAGTCTGTGTGTGATTTGAGGCGACGTGGGCAACAGCGGCTGACGGCAATGCGACAAACTATGATGCAGCAACTACCAAAGTGATCTACTGATACAGTCTCATACAGCAGACAAACACGAACAACAAATGGCACAATACTCAAATAAGTGTCATTCAGAGTGTGTTTCAATTTCTTATTTGAATTCATAGAAGCAGAAAATGGAATTTAACGGAATACGGGGCATTTCCAAAATAATTGAATTTATATATTTGATTATTGCAAATGATAGTGGGAAAACATTCACTGTAAACTTACTCCAGATTTTGATGAAAAAAAATATTTTTATAGAACTACCTAAATACAATGCAATAAACATTTTGTACATTTTGCAAAAAAAAAAAAAAAAGTATTTTCAGTATTAATTTATCAATCAGTATTAATTGATACATTTATTTGTGTTGCCATACAGTATAATCATCAACAGTTATATTCTTGGAAAGAAATAAAAAAGTATTTTAAGAAATAAATATCTTTATTCAGCAAGGATGCATTCAATTGATCAAGTGGCAGTAAAGACATTTATATTGTTACAAAAATATATTTCAAATAAATGCTATCCTTCTGAACTTTCTATTTATCAAAAAATCCTTTTATGTATAATTGTTGATCCTTCAACAATAATATTATGCGGAACAACTGTATTTAACATTGATAATAATCAGAAATGTTTCTCGAGCAGCAAATCAGCATATTAGGATGATTTCTGAAGGATCATGTGACACTGAAGACTGGAGTAATGATGCTGAAAATTCAGCTTTGATCACAGGAATTAATTACATTTTAAAATATATCACATTAATTATAATAATATTTCACAATATTACTGTTTTTTCTGTATTTTGGATCAAATAAATGCAGCCTTGGTGAGCATAAAAGGCTTCTTTCAAATTTTGAAAAAAAATAAATAAATAAAAACACTATCAACCCAAAACCTTTGAACGGTAGTGTATGATATGTAATTTGGATTTTGCATATTTCCCATTGTTCCTATTCAAACGTTATTTCAATGCACTGTGTTTTGTGACTAATTCAAATTCTCCCTCCAACATGAACCAGCTCCTAAATTCTGAATTTTTCCTCAATCCCGCTAACGACCCATAGTAGTGCAGTAACTGAATCGGTGTCAGTGTGAATCTCTCTTGAATGGCTCGTCTAAAGAAGACAAAAGTCAATGCCTGTTGCCTTCAAACACACTGAAGCTGCGATCTATTGTTAAGACTCTACTGACACTTCATTTCCAGCGATACCGTTGACTTGATTGCAAAGATACTATTTAAACTGAGCTGGATGTTGACATCACTGAATTCAATGATGAACTGTCTTTAACTGAAAAATTTGTGTTTACTATTGTCATTTTGCATTATTGACACTATTTTCCTAATTAATGCTGTTCAGTTGCTTTGACACAATCTGTATTGTTAAAAGCGCTATATAAATAAAGGTGACTTGACTTGACTTGACTTACTGACCGAGCACTGATGGCTGATGTCTTCATACTGCTCCTCTATGCTGATGGGCTGGACTTGTGTGTGGGAGGAGATACAGGTGCAGTCCTGAGGGGAAGAGGGGAGGAGACATGAGACACGCCCCCCACCCCACAAATGAATATGGAGATGAATACGACTATATCCACAGTATGAATATGCATGAATTGAGCAAGGGTGGGCTGAAGGGCAAAGACATGGCAAAAGGAGGAGATGATTATGGAAATGCTGCAGTGCAGAGTCAGCCTTGCCATGTGTGATTAAGTCATGGTTAAAGGAATTTTCCGTATTCGATGCAAAACATGAAACAATTTTTGTTTGTTTTTACAAACTGAACCTGGAACATTGTTTTATGACGTTAAAGGAATAGTTCACCCAAAAACAAAACTTTGCTGAGAATTTACTCACACTCAGGCTATTCAAGATGTAGATGAGATGTTTCTTCATGGGAACAGATTTGGAGAAATGTAGCATCGCATCACTTGCTCACCAATGGATCCTCTGGAGTGAATGGGTGCCGTCAGAATGAGAGTCCAAACAGCTGATAAAAACATCACAATAATCCACAAGTAATCCTACTATCCCTTTAACTGATGGACCGGACTGGTGTGGGTTATTGTGATGTTTTTATCAGCTGTTTGGACTCTCATTCTGACGGCACCCATTCACTCCAGAGGATCCATTGGTGAGCAAGTGATGCAATGCTACATTTCTCCAAATCTGTTCCCATGAAGAAACATCTCATCTACATCTTGGATGCTCTGAGGGTGAGTAAATTCTCGGCAAATGTTCATTTTTGGGTGAAATATTCATTTAACAGACACATTATGATATTAATAGTGGTTGAATTGTCACTTACAGAAATTAGTATTTAACTGATGTATATTTGATTATAGCAAATAATTGTGGAAAAACACTAATTTCCAAGAATTTTACCCAGATTTGATATCTAAATGTTCTTTTATGAAACTACTTATAAACAATGCAAAATTAACATGCTTTTTAATGGCTGTTAATCATTTTGACAACATTTATTTATGTATTAACGAGTGACACAGGAAACTGCAAACACAACTTTCATTTGTTTCATGCTTAAGGAACCTTTATTGAATCCAGAACATGTCTTTATGAGTGAGACATTGACATGAGCCTCCTGGATTAAGAGGTGAGGTGGAGGATTGGTGGATATTAATGAGGACGTTTATTATTAAATGTGCTGATATCTAGGGATTAGAGAATAATCAGGCCATGGATATTGTTCAGCGAACATCTTCAGCCCATAAACACATCCCTAAAGCTCTACTACTATACTGAACACTAAACCCAGAATCAAAAGCTTCATGCAAACACATTTCTGATACCCAGAATGAAGAACTGCAGAAATAAACACAGAAAGCATGAAATACAGAATGCATTGAGCTTTGCACAAACAAGCTGGGGATGAAAAGATTTGACTCTCACCAGAAACGACATGAGGCTGAGCTGATGCTTCACTGGAGTTCATTTATCTGATTCTGAAGACAGTGAATAACAATCAGTCCATCTGCAAAAACATTCCAGCAGTGGTTTTCTGGCTGTTTCCAGTGTGCCACGCTGCATTTCTCATTGCAAGAAAATATGCCTGAAAAGCAAAATGTTTTTCGCTTACCTGGCTTTGCTCGGATTTCACTGCGTAAAAGACAGACTTCATCTCATCTCACGCTGCTCCATTAGAGTCCTATGAAGCAAACCATCAGCGGAGACGCTTTCAAGCACATATCAAATTTTCAGGGCTTAAATGGCATTATGATCCAGATCCAAAGCTCACATTTCAATTGCACACATTTCTATTTTCTAAGAATAGCCTGATTTCAAATGCGTCTTGTCTGAAAATCAGCATCCATATTCTGGTCCTGTAGCAGACGCTGTGTCCATGAACAGAGCAGCCGGAATCAGTGTCTGGCACCGCTTGACCTACTGCATGAGTCTGATCTCCTCTCTACTCTAGACATCATCATCATCATCATCTTCAGTTATATCACTTGATAGGATGTCATATCTGTCTGGGTGCATCAGCTCTGATATCATACCATAACATTGGGAAACACTGTCCATTTTGTGTTGTTATATAATTAATATTAGCGGCATCAAAATAAGTTCATGCTTGCCCGATTACACTTTATATTCATAAGAAATATATTAAAGATTATTGAATGCATATAGCTTAAGATTAGGTCTCTGCTTAAACTGCAATTGTAAATAAAATAAATAATGCATATTGGTTCACAATATAGATATGCATAACCATGCATGCCCAAATTAGATGATATGTTAAATATTAATAATTAGTAATTATCAGAGTAACTGACAGCAGGTGTCCTTCCTAGTCCTTGACAGTGATTGCATGTAGGTTAACAGGGTTAAGAAAAAAAAATCTTCAACGAAGAGCAATGGTGCACTAGAAGCGTCTAAAATAAGCTGGACTTCAATATCAAATCCACCCGGTTTCATATTAATTATGTTTAATATTGCATTAACGCATTTGGTGACTATAGTAGAGAATTTTGACATGATTTAACATTACTAATGCACGATTACTATTATTCGCACGAGTTACAAAACTATTATTTTCTAATATCATGCACACCAAAATTTTCTGAGACTGATGAGAAGCTCAAAGCCAGATATGACAAAAACTCACCATTGTTTGTTATGCATGTGGATGGAGGTTCTCCTGTAAATTGATTTTGCGCCCTTAATTTTGACGGCGAACGTCAGTTCTTTGCAGTTGCAGTTACTTCGGTCACATCACAGTTTTATTGTAAGAAGAAAAATCACGCAGCGCCTCTCACATTTACCAATAACATATGTAAGTTGACTTGCCAAAGCTTTTCTTCACAGTCCCGGTTGATATTTACATAATAAAAGTCTCTCAAACACGCCGTAAATGACGTTCCAGAGGAATGTCCACAATAAAAGTCTTTTGATCACGCGACTAAACCTAAACTAGAAGGGTATGCATAATAAAAGCACCTAATCTATGCAATAATTTCGCCTCTCTATCATTTAAATAATCATTTAAGATTTTTTCCTGAAATGATAGGAAGTGATCTAAAAACCGTGGCAAGCTTAAATTAAATTGCACGTTTAGAATCCCTAGAATAACTGTACAAATTGTTCTTTATTTTCGAATAAGGGACCTATAGTACGTAAGTAATGAAGGTTTTCATCTTCTCTCCACACTCAAGATTAAATCTTACTTTATTAATTCAACTCAATTAAATTCACGTTTATTTGTATAGCGCTTTTCACGATTCAGATTGTTGCAAAGCAGCTTCACAGAAAATTAAAGTTCTTACATTATATTTAGGATTAGTTTATCAGATTATGACAAGGTTATGTCATTATGGCAGAAATGCACAGTAAATTGTAAGTTGTAAGTGGACTTGCCAAATCTTTTAATAATACAGAAACAGAAAGGATGTTATTACCTAACATCTAGGAAAGAATTAGATCAATCTTCCCGTCTATTTTTCCCAGTTTCTCCTTTCTCATTCATTTATTCATTTGTTTGTTTGTTTAATATTGTTGTGTCTGTGTAATATTAGCTAGTTATTAAAAATTCAATATGCATAATAATGTTTGTAGTTGACATCCATAAATAAATAAAGAAATCGCTCAGGGACTTTTATCATGAAATAAATGTCGCGGACTCTATGACGTAATTGTAGCTCACAATTTGCCCTGAACGCTTCCCCAAATACCCCTCCCTCCTCACTCTCTGCTCTTTTTGTCTCAAAACCTCGAAGTGACGGCAGCCACATGCACCAGTAGCGCTCAGAAGAAGAAGAAGCGGATTTTAAGTGAACTAAAGGTAAGAGAGCGAGGTTCTCCGTTCTTTGAGAAGGCATGTAGGTATATTTGTGTGTATGTAGGTGAGTGGACGAGTTTGTGAGGGAGGCTCATGTGGACATTGGCTCTCGTGCATCGGGATGCAGATCAATGCATCTATTATGAAATCTGTTGCATCAGATCAAATGGCTTGTTTTTTTCCTAACACTGCATTATATCGAGCATCTCTGTGCTGCCTTTGTTCACGTATTTCCGCTCAGAAGCTGAATATAGACGCTTATATTTATTTTTATCATAACATCTGAGCCTCAGAATAAATATAATCATCTATGTTCATTCTAATCAATGGGTCATAGTGATAAATTACAGGAATGTTGTGATTTATGTTCAGACAGAATTAATATTATGCCCTTTGCTGACATCTGATTTATGAATTAAATAATTCATGAACACGACCTGTTAACCTGTTTCAGTCAACCAATCTTAAGACGTTTCGTTAAGTCCTTTTAAAAAGAGAATACATTATTTGTAAAGACAAACTGGTCTAACAATTTGAATATTAAGAGTATTTAAAAAAAACATTTTGATAAATAATTCTATACGGTGCTGTCAAACGATTAATCGCGATTAATCGCATCCAAAATAAACGTTTTTGTTTACATAATATATGTGTGTGTACTGTGTATATTTATTATGTATATATAAATGCACACACATGCATTAAGAAAAATGTTACATTTATATATTAAATATATTTATATATAATATGAATTATATGAATATAAATATATACATACAAAATATATGCTGTATGTGTGTGTATTTATATATACATAATAAATATACACCGTACACACACATATATATTATGTAAACAAAAACTTTTATTTTGGATGTGATTAATCGTTTGACAGCACTAATTTATAATACTATTAAGTTCCACTAATAGTTACACTGTTAAGCCTAACTAGACTAAATATACACCTATAGCTCTGACTTATCAACTAAAACAGAGTATAAATTCAAAAATGTGTTCATGTGAACTTTATGATGCTGTTAATTGCGAGAATTGTGCATTTGACTATATATATATATATATATTTCTTTTTTGACCATTGAAATAAGTCTGGTTTGTTAGTAGTGTAACTCGAGCCCTCTGGATTTTGTTGTAGTTTGTAACGGTTTGGATAATTGCAGACAGCTTGCTGGAGAGTAACTGTGGGTCAGAGGGGAGATTGATGAACAGATGACATGCTGCTAATGGAGGTGTACTGAAGCTTCTCCTTGGCCTTAAGCAAAACGGGAGGCTGAGAATATATGGGACGAGTGTAATTTATTTCAGGTGTCACTTAGATAGAGACTGTTGGAAGTCATGCTGGTATAATCACAGTGGCAGCCGTCATGAGCTCTGCATTAACGTCTGGATCAGACACAATGCTGCTGGAAGCGATTGGATTCATGCCATCAGCCCAACCGCACCCTCACAAACATCCCTTTACTTTTGGGATGCGTCTGACAGCTGTGCTTGATGTGTCAATAATAAAATGACAGCCTGATGTTTGGATATGCTTGTTTCTCTCGATCTGTGATGGTGATTTTGCATCTACTGGTTTAGATATCATTGGTTTGACCCTGTGATTGTCTGATTGATGAAGAGTTTCCTGTAATGGCTTGGACAGACTTTGAGGCTCGATATTAAAAGAACAGGTTGTCATCACAAGCTTTGCACTTCCCAAAAAAGTCCTGGAGAAAGACAAAAAGAGGAAGAACGTTACGTAACTATTTGTGCATGGTTTTCTTGTTGTGAAGTATTTGTCAGAAAAGTCTTGCATAGCTGCTTATCTTCTGACAGTAGCGAGAATAAAGTTTTTCAGGTTCATTAAATAATGGAGTTGTAAAGGAAACGGCTAAGTGCACAGGATCTTGTTCTAAGGATTAGTTGGAAATGAAGGCATTTTGAAAATGTAAAACATACATTTTTTTCTTTCTGAAACTGCAATTTCATTTGGAATTTATTAGCCAGGTAAGATTATTACAACAAGGAGTTTTTTTTTTATATAAATTCAATTGTTCCCAACATTATATGCAATGCATTACACAACTTTCACTTTTGTTTGCGGTACAGCAGGTTTGTTTTGATCTCTCTCTGTGCACAAAACCCTCATCCCACACCCTCCTGAGTTTGACAAACACACACACGGAAGGTGAAACATCGTCACTTTGAAATTGAAACTGTTTGACTGTGGCCCCTTATGTAAAAGGTTACTGTGAAAACCTACTTTTTAAAAATAACTTTAATGTATTTTTTCAGCAAATTAAATTGATATTTATATTAGTGCTGGGCGGTATACCGGTTCATACCGAATACCGGTGTTTATTTTTGTTATGATATGAATTTTTAAAATACCGCAATACCGGTGTATGTCGCTTAAACAACGTTCGGAATGCAACACTGTTTGAAAGGGGTCCCTTTTCACTGTTGCACTGTGGTGAGGGAACAGCTGTATGTGTTACTACCGTGATATAAATCTTTGGTCATACCGCCCAGCACTAATTTATATTGTTACAGAAGATTTCTATTTCAAATAAATAAAATTCTTTTGAACTTTCTATTCAATTAATCCTGAAAATTGTATCAGTTTCCACAAAAAGTATTAGGCAGCACAACTGTGTAATAATAATAATCAGCATATTAGAATGATTTCTGAAGACTGGAGTAATGATGCTGAAAATTCAGCTTTGCATCACAGGAATAAATTACATTTTAAATTATATAATAGAAAACGGTTATTTTAAATTGTAATAATATTTCACAATGTCTGTTCACAAAACACAAAATGTAGCTTCTCTGTTATCCTATTATTTGTTTATTTATTTTTTTGCAGAGTGATTATTATAGTACATTTTTGTAAAGGGAATTTTGGCCCTCAGCTTTCATCCATTATAAAGCCAACCCATGTTTCCAAAATGAGTATCATACTCTGTAAACATCATCATGTATGGTACAGTGGGATTTTCTTCCCTCCAGAACTCAAGACAGGAAGCTCACGCTGGAGCAGTTGAGTTTCTGAACAACAGGAAGTGCCCCTCACTCCCCCCTCGAAGACAGCTGCGACGTGGCCTGAAGAAAACAGGCAAGCTTTAGAGACGGTGACCTGAAAACTATTTGGACACTGAACTGCTGTTATTTTGTATTATTATTATTCATTCTGTATATGTTTTTATTATTATTAAAGTCTAATTCATATTTAGTTATTTTTTTAATTATTCTAAAGTAACACTAGCAAGAAATGGATTCTGGGTAGTGCGCACTGAAACATAAAAATGAAAGGTATCAGTCATTAAAAAACACAAATTGGACAGTCTCTAGTAGTAACTGTGGTGTTTTGGTTTTTGTAAGGGAAATAATAAACTGAAGACTTCCTTTCACATAAGTCTCCGGCTCAGCCACATACACGCTTAAATCTGCCAAACAGCTGGAGGAGACCCACTCAACTAGAGCTGAAATGTCAGCAGAGAGAGAATGAGGGAGTGATTACAAACCCGGGCATCACAAACATGTTTCCATGCAAGCCTCTGGAAACACACACACACACACACACACACACACACACACACACACACACACACACACACACACTCATATGTGTTGTTTTGATACAGAGCAGGATGTGACATCAGGTGTCACATCTTCTGCTCTTGCGGATTGGGCATGAGTGAGGAGCCCCGCCCTCATTTGCCCAGCTGACCAATCAGAATGTTTGAGGTGAAGCCCATGAGCGTGGAGAAGGAGGACACAGCTGCGGGAACAGGTGTGTGTGTGTGTGTGTGTGTGTGTGTGTGTGTGTGTGTGTGTGTGTGTGTGTGTGTGAGACAGAGAGAGTTATAAATGATTAACTTTTATAGTTATATATACATTTGACTCACAAATAGCAATTTCTACCTAATCAATTATTGAAGTGCTTGACATAACTAGAAAAAAAATATGCGTAATAAAAATGTCAATGACTTGAAATTTATATTAATTTTCCAGGTCTAAAAATCAGACTTTTAAAATTGCCTTATTTATACAGGTTTAACAAGACTGAACA